ATGATGAAAATTAAAAACGCAAGAAACAATACGTTAACCAACAAACTTAAAATTTTATTTTTTAAAGCCACAAATATTAACGCAACTAAATGCGCGGCAGCAACTCAGGCAATTGGGTGTGGTCGAGAAGAAAGCACCTGCAATATGCAAGTACATATCCAGTGTTGCCATGGACAAATTTTTTTTTCTACCAAAACAGGAACAACCCAAACTTACCAAAATTTTATTTAAGTTTTTAATATTTTGTTTTAATGTCAATTTTATTAAATATGTAGATAACATAACATTTAGAAAAATTAAAACACAGCTAGTACAATAAAACAAATTAACTATGTACGTATAACAATTCATTTTACTGTACAGACTTGCGAGTATATTTGGGATCCACGCTTTGCGAGACAGTCAGCTTTCGTTGCCTTCAAACCCTTCATGTCCCGGAACCAACCACAGCGTTACGTTATTGTGAGCTTCCCAGTGGTTCAAAAAAGTTTTACAGCTTTCCGCAAGCCTGCTGCCGTTTTAAACGAGTCGAATGGTCTGATTATGCATACTTCGCATAACTTCGCACAACTTCGCATACACTTCAAACTGTAATTTCATATGTATTTTGTATGTATTCCATTACCCAGAAATTAACAGAGCTTTTAAAAACTTAGCCGTCTGTTGAGTTTTGATTTTGCTTCACATTTTCTTAACTTACATTTTTATTGCACAGGTACAAATAGTTGTGCGAAGTATGCATAATCAGACCATAAGGCTTTTAACCTGCCTGACTATCCGACATAATATTTAATTTGGCCCCATTTGTGCTTCTACACAGACTTCGATTGCGAAGACTTTCGCCTGCAATATAGTTGGGTATGTGTAAATTGGCAAAATTTCTGGAATTTCGGTCCAAATTCCGCCAATCACAGTTATTATCATTTCACAGCAGTCCCTTTCAGGAGTTCTAACCTTGTAGAGTTTGTAGAAGGATAGCTCGGGAATATCCAGGAATGCCTTTAGAACCTCTAAATGACCCCGAAAATCCCAAATTTTCTTACTGATGATATTGCGCAGTCGTAGGGTGCTCTTTTTGAAACAGAATAGACAAACAACAACAAGGGCATCCGTTGTATAGGTGCCCATACCTCCTAACATGACCACCGGACCAGTCGGTAAAGCTTGCTTTGGAACCCGACTTTAGTGGCGTAGCTTTTTAACACCAGGCCAGTGACAACGGGTCTTACTTCCATACTGAAAGACCAATAGGTTAGTTTTATATTCCTCCAGTCTTACAATGAAGTATCTGTCAGGTGGACTCCACCGGCGAAATATTCGTGCAAACAGGGTTGCTAAAACGTTTGGAGATACATATTTTATATTTTATATTTTTCGCAAATAACTATTATTGTCGCGGAATCTACCAAAATCCAGTCTAGACTGCCAACCTACCAAATGGAAAAAACCTACCAGTTTTGGTAGGAAAATCCCACATTTGGCAACACTGTACATATCTAAACACTTTCTCTCTCTCTCACTCTCCCCGATTAGTTGACAAGGCTTATGAGCAATTAAGGCGTTTTTATGCTGAACGTTAATATTAAAAATGCGAAAATACGCTAATTAGCAAAAACCGTAATAAAATTTTCTCTCTTCAAGTTTAATGGAAACGTCCTTTCGCCATCCACAAAGCAATACTGCTGAGGGCAAGGAATGGATCCAGGCGAGCGCTGGCATAACTGGTTACTTTGTGTTTATTATTTTGCATACGTACGTTCATACCAGCAAAATGTTTGCCTTTTGTGTACGCATTTGGTAAGCGGAAATGACGAGTTGACCAGGGTTGAGCGAACATGCGTGAATTCCTATTATTTACTCGGCAGCTGCAGCGCCACCATCATCACTTTTTGCATAATAATTAACCGAAAGAAAAAAAAACACAGCGAAATATAACAAAATTACAAATTTTACATTTACAACCAAAAATAAAAATTTAAAATATGCCAACGCACTAACGAGTCTTTATTAATTACGCAAATACTCGAACAACGCATTTGGTAGAGCGAAGAAGTGGGTACGCGCGCCGCCGACGGCACTGACTGTTTTGATTAACGACTAGGTGTTGGAAAGAAAAAATTTGGTCAGCTGAACGAGGCGGAAATAAAGAAAGGACGCGACGGGTTGGTGCACGGGTGCGCTTTTTAATGACCAGGGAAACGAAATGTACACTCACTGAAAGTTGCTTTTTACACGCTGCAATTAGCAGGCGAAATTTTAAAAATTTTATTATTACGGTTATTTGCATAAAAGCGCAAAAAGCATTGTTCGCTCAAACGAATTACGCAACGATTTTTATTTTTTTTGTTTACAAGTTTCTAAATAAAGAACAGTTTAACAGGCAAAGAGGCGATGGATGTTTGTATGCCAGTTTGTGCAACACAAAAAAATTATATTTTAATCGATTTTTAACACATACTATGAAGGTAATTTAAAACAGAAAAGTTATAAATAGTTTAAAGTTTGTTTTATACACCACTCCAAGTTTCGGAATACATACATACGCTCAAGAACATAAAACAAGCCTGAAAGTTCTTCAGGAGGGCAATGTGGTATAGCCGTTCTTCTGGGTATGCAGTTACAGTTGCACTGCAATCAATCCCGACACTTGCGTTCTCGCACTCTGGGAAACGTAAGCAAGTCCTGTGCGAGATGCGGTAACCAACCCGAGTGGAGCCTTGGCAGAAAGAGAGGGAGCTCTGGTAAGGCCACTCCGACTTATTTGGTTTAAGGGCTCACTGGAGTCTGCAGCGCCTGTTCACCAGTAAATAAGGCTGCAAGCAGGCGTCTGTCTTACAGCAAGAGTGTATCCGGTTGAAAAGCCACTCATCCTAGTAATGGTTGTGCCTGGCCCGCCACGTAAAACGCCTTCCATTGAAAAGACCAGAAGGACCTTGGATTACTACCTCCCAAAACTTGACGACCATCGCTCACGAAATAAGGACTATGATTTACGAATATGTACTTGGAATGTCCGGAGCCTCTATAGGGAAAGTGCATCTATCCTTTTGCTGGATGTCCTCGAAATATCTAAGACTGACTTTACTACAATCCAGGAAATGCGATGGATGGGCATGCAGCCCGTGACATCTGCTACAGCTTACATGAGAGGGCGGATAAATTTGGTGTAGAAGTTGTGGTTGGGCGGAGACCACGACACCACGTCTCCAGGTTCACTCCCATCGAACGAATCGCCACGATACGCATCAAAGCTTAATTCAACAACTTAAGCGTCATTTGTGCACACGCTCCGCGACTGTGGTGTGTGGAAGGCATTTTTGTTCCAACAGTCGTAAAATTCAGCCTTCATGACAACACCTCCATCAACGTAGAGAGGCTGATCGACTTTGCCGCTGCACGGAACATGGTTGTTAGTAGTATCAGACACCGCCTTCGAAACATCCATTCAGCCATTTGGGTGTCCCCTGATCAAAGAACGAAGAACCAAATAGTCATGTTGTGGTAAAGATACGTTTCACGCTTTATGTGCGTTCTATCCGACGAGTCAACATCGGATCACTACCTTGTTGCAGCCAAAGTCCACATGTGCCTCTGTGGCATGAAGAACGTGCGCCAGGCGACGCGGCGAATGTTCGACGCCGAGAAGCTGCAGTCACAGCAGACAGCCGAGAAATTTCGCAAGGAAATCTTCATCGATCGGATATAAATTAGCAGTAAGAATCCATTTCCGAATCTTTTTGTACCGCTGCGGAAGAAGTGGTGGTATAGATAAAGTGAAGAATAACTCTGGCCAACAGGTGCTACTTTGAGCTCGGTAGGCAATTGAAAAGCAGAGCTCTCTATCTACGAACGAAAATCACGTTCTAAAAATTTGGGCATGAGGACAGATTTGTCCTTTTGTATGGCGCAGAAACATGGACGATGTCTAACAAAGACGTTCTACCAAGGCGTTCTTCAACCGAATTCTGAAATAAGGCGCTGTTAAAAACATTTCCTACGATCTTCCATTCAGCCGTCGATATACTGCCGTTCGATAGATAGACACATCAAGATGTATACCAAAATGATCGAAACGTCGAGATGAGTCGATTTAGCCATGTCCGTCTGTCTGTCGATTTGAATGCAATCTTGTCCCTCCGATTTCGACGGAAATTTTGTGAGCGGGTGTATTTTTGTAATGTATTAAATCATTTGTCGAAACCGGGAAAATCGAACCTGTATAAAATATCTCTCCCATACAACTGATTGTCCAGATATGAGATTTTCGCTGTAATTCCCCCATTTGTGCAGCTAGAGGCTCCATAGAAAGCTTAAAGTGAAAATAACAAATATCGGCTCAGATAAGGGGTTTACAAAACCTCCTTCATTTGGACAGCTAAAACCGAACAATTTTGTGAGCTATTTTCTAAATAATCATACAAAGTTTACTAATAAAATCATCAAGCTCTATAAGCTATATTTGCTATACCACTGACTTTTTGGTACCTTGGGAAACATACATGTACATTTACTGCTGGTGTGAAAACTTTGCACAGATGGATCAAAACGCGACAGAAAAGTTGGTGATCTTTACCCGAAGTAGTTAAATATAAGACTTCGCCACAGTGACAGACATTGTCTTATTGGATTACATGCAGCTAGATTGCGCGTATTGCAGAAGTTACCCGGACAAGGATAGCGGGGAAACCAGCCAACACCTTCTCGGCCATTTCCCAAAACTAGCAAGACGGTGAGCAAAAGTTCTGAACTGTTGCATACCTATTTGATGATCTGGATGACATTAGAGCAATATATTTTAGGAGCTTATCGACAATTTGCTGAGTACGATCAGGCAACGAGGTTAAACGTAAGCCCCATATCCCGATCCGATCATCATCTTAGGATACAGAAAGCCTAAGTTTAATCTGTAGGCGAAATATTTAAAAACATTTTCTCATATGCATCTTTCATTTGATGTTCTTCTTCTTTAATTCAATAAAACAAATAAAATGTACCAAATAACAATTTATGTAGTTAAGACGATAAAATGTGAAAAACAATAAAAAAATATATTTTGAATACGGTCACCACCCATTAAATCCATTTTCAAATAACGCTTGTCTCTAAACAATTTAACTGTTTCTATAAGAATTAAATGTTCACAGCTTGCCCTGCATCAGCGGTTTTAGATGCGTTTCAAATGTTTTATTGACCGCCTCCTGGTTCAAGGTGCTCTTACGCGCCTCCTCCATCAAACGTTCATACACACGTCCATCGTAGCAACCCAGCGTGGATCCCAAAACGCGATCATTAAAATCAAAACCATCCACGACCGCAACAGCATTAGGCCGGATGTCCGCTAACAAACGTTCATAACGTGTCCGCATTTCATCTACTTGCCGCGCATTAAGCTGAAATGCCAATAAAATATCACTTAAACTCGTCAAGCAAAACTCCAAAACAAACAACTCCACCAATTGCTTTAGCACAGCTGCCAAAGAGGGTTTCAATTCCTTGCAAAACTTCTCGACCTCTTCAAATGCAATGCGCGCTAGAAAGGCGCGTCCATGTAGCGTTGCTGCCTGCGTTAAGCGTATGCCAGTCTTATTGGCAGCCACTTGCTCAGACTTCGCTATTTTCCGCTGCTTTCGTAAGTACTCGAAGGTGTTTCGAATATGCTCCGTAGCCGCTAATTCCAGTAGACGCACCAGCGTTTTTAGCTCGACAACCTTGTCCCACTTTGGACGTGCTGCGTTACGCAGATAAGTGACGCTGTGTGGTAAAACTTTACGCTTCAGTCCTTCCGCGTATTGTTTGACGAGAAAACGCGCAGTTTGTAGCAGTAGCACTGTGTTCTCACCCTCATATGTGCAAGCGGCAGTGGTGAGACCATATATTTGTGGCAAGTTTGATGAGCTTAAATAGCCATGGCCACCGCAAGATTTGCGCAAACTTTCAACGCCTCTCTCGGCCTCGGCTGAACAGACTGCCTTCAAGCAGCAAGATAAGGCATGCAACTCGGGCAGGTTGCGGCGATTTCCGGCTTCCAATTCCTTCATTACACTCTGATACATATGCCAAACTACATCGGCCGCAATACGGAAAAAGATACCATTTGCAATTTGCGGAAACAATTTTGCCTGTTGAGTCGTATGATCCAATATTTGCGGCTCTGGTTGATCGGGTGCAATAGGGCTCTGCCGACGCACAGCTGAATATCTACAATATAGAGAAAAAGACAAAAATATCATGTGAAAAAAGTTATTTAATTTCGATATCGTGTCTTTTCTAATTCAAAAAAAAAAAAAACAGATCAGAATATTTACACAAATCTAAATTTTTACAGACTTAAAGGAAACAAATTTGGAACTCTTTGCATTTTCCCATGAACCCATGAACTTTCTTCTTCTACAGAGTGTGGGACATTCGCATAACAACTGCAGCAAGGTTTCTAGCTGTTCTCAAATTTTGCAGAAATCATTATGCGGAACCCCCAACCTTTCTGCCATGATAACATGGCCTGTTACCCTAGTCCCTTCTGCCCAGCATGAGAATACCTTTCTCGTTTCACTCCGAACACAGCTTGTATATAAGGGACGGCAGGCCCAAGTTCGTCCGTCTTATTGTTCCCTGGTATATTCCTGAGCCCTGGTAGCCATATCAAGTGGAGACCAATCCCCCTTCTTGGAATCCACGGCAGTCCGCTGAGGGTTTTAATTGCAAGTGACCGACTCAAGTAGTTTGAGTGCGGTAGATTGCCTGAGTAGATGAAGATGTTGTGACATGCATTGCAGCCACAGTATTGCTGTATTGCAGCCACTTATTATATTTAAAGACGCTACCATAGTTTCCCAGTCCCAACTGTGCCTTGTTCTTTAATTTTAAGCCATCAGCGTAGAAACGGCGGACACCGCCAATTGTTTACCAATTATTTATAATGGCAAAATGTTAAGTACTCTGGTGCCAGGTCAATCGGTAGAACCCGGTAATGACACATCTCACCATTTGGCCAGAGAGGGCCAACCACATATTCCTCGGTCCATAACCAGTTATAGCACTCCCACCTTCGCCCATCCAACAGAGTTGTTGAAAGAACATATACCCTCTAACTCTATCTTCCAACTTGGACCCATCCGTGAATACGCCAATTGAGCTTTTGTCTCAAGTGCTGCCACTCTCTCATTCATTAATACCTGCACCGCGATACACCGAACATTTTTTACAAGTCGATGGAACTAAAGACTGCTAATAGCAGCGTGAAAATTTATAAAGACTTGAAGTGCTAGAGTAATGATGGTCGAAAATGCCTTCAGTGGGGCAGTCCTTAACACGTGTTCGAGCTGCTTAACTTTTGTAACACTCTGTAATCAGTTTCACCAGACACGAATGTCGTCAACGTAATTGGCTTGATTATGATTTCATAAAGCTCCAGACTTTTCCAAGGACGCGTCTTAAACGCTAAAAAGCTACCACCAAGCCGCATACCTCATAGCGAGAGAGGTTGAAAATTAGGCATTTTGTATTAAGGTCATAGGACTAAATAGCTACGTTAAAGAATATGCGAGATGCGGTAACCAAACCGAGGGGATCCGTGGGTCATAGCAAAAAGAAAGGAAGCTTCGGAGGGCCACTCCGACTTATTCAGTTTAAGGGCTCTCTGAAGTCTGCAGCGTCTATTCGCAATACGGTGCCGCTGAAAGCAGGCGTCTGTCTTGAAGAAAGTAGCTCGCTATATAAACGTGCATTTGGTTGAGAAACCACCCCTCTCAACAATAGATTCCAGCGAAAAAAAAACAAAAAAAACCTCGCAATATTGGTCCACGCAACGTTTGACCTGTCTGCACTTGGGATAGACAGCTGACGCCAATTCGCAAGGGATCAATTGGCGAAGTTTTTGGTATCGGCCGAAACCGACAAACGATTGTAATGTCAAATAAGAAGAATAAAGCCACATTTTTAAAGCCCAATCAGTTCGTTGCCGGTGGTCTTCAGCCATGAATACACTACGCTAGATAAGACCTTGTACACGACGTTTAAGAAGCTGCTGCTGCGGTATTTCCTTGCTCATTAACCACAAAATTATACTCGCACCTTACCACGATCGGGCAGTAGAACACAAATTTCGTAATTTAATGCATTAGGATTGTATAGAAATGCTAAGAAAAAAACAGGCTTAGGAAATTAGCTATGGAAACAAAGGGAGTGGATTAGGAACCAGGAACTAGCAAACTTAGAGCCTCCAAAAATATACGGGTAGCAAATGTCCTCATGCAAGATCTCTGGTTAAATCCTAATTAAATCTATCTGATTTTTACAAATTTTAAGACCAAACTATCAATATTGTCAATAGACTTTGTTGGTAACGATTTTTTTTTTCGATTGATAGCTTCGCACCTACAAAACTAAATATAATACTACTTTAACGGTAAGATTCCATGATGTTTATAAAATCTTAATTGCACTCACCTAGTAGCAATGGTAGCCGCCTGCAGTAACCCGAATGAGACGTCCCTTATGATTATTACACGCACAAATACCATGGTGCCATAGGTAAGCAATGGTTCTGGGCCCTTCACAAAGCGACCGTTCGGTAAAACTTGTGCATTTTTCATCAACATTTGCCTGCGAGGTATTCGTACATCTTTGAGGCCGAGAAATCCATTGTTTACACCATTCAAACTCATCTTCGGTCCAATTTCACCCACGTCTACACCTGGCTCCGGCAGGTGTGTTTCAGCATTGCGTATACGCACTAGAAACGGATGTAAACCATAATGTTTCCCCTTAATATACAACTGTGCCATAATGATCACCATATTGGCAGCGTGTCCCAAACCACCAGGCCACCATTTATAGGCAGTAAGAGTTGGCGTATTCAAGATGAACTCCTCACTCTGCCCATTGTAGTCGGCGCGCGTCTCCAGGCCGCGTATGAAAGTGCCATGTCCCAATTCTGTCTGCGCGTATGTACCAATAATACCATCCATGCGCCAAGCGCGTTCTAACCACTCACGCTGCTGTTCTTTCGTGCTCTGCCCTAATAATGCTGGCAGAAACATTGAGAAATGCAAACGCAGCGGAAAGCTTTGTTGAAATAGCGCTGTACCTAGTGGACCTGATAACAGCATACGGAAATCATACAATTCGGCAATTGCACTCTGCTTAGTATTTGTTGTGTCATTGGCCTCAGCTTTAGTTGCGTGCCAAGCGCGCAGTTGGTTCAAAAATTTGCAGGCTTTCGCAATTGTATACTCATAAAGTTCTTTGTGCGACATCAGCGCTATGTGCTGGGGATCTGCGAAACCATCGTTGTCTAAAAATAACTTCTCCAAAGCTCTACGCTCACGCAATGCAACGCGACCGCCCGCCCACCACTCTGCAAAGTCTTCACTTGAAATTGTTGCCGTTTGACGCTCGCGGTGTAGATCTGCATTCGACATTGCTTTTGGATTCTATCCACTGAACGATCGGGTATATTTTTAACTTACATATACCGTTAATGAAAATTAGTCTATTCAAGTTATTAATTTACTTATCTTTTATCTTCAAGTTGCTTTTATTTAATGTTAGCAAATTTGTTTTAGCGTTTACCTAGTAGTCACACCCATCATTGATGCTCAACTAACTGAAAACTGGATTTGCGTGGAGTTTTAGCTTCTGCTGTCACAGTACTGTGCAACCCGGTTATCAATGCACTTTTTCTGTTGATTGCAAAGTGCAGCGAGAGCGTAAATATAAATAAGACCACACATATACATATGTAGGTGTGTACTCGGTTATTCGATTATTCGCATTTTTTCAAAAACCGCATTTAAAATATGACAATTTGAAAAAACCCGGTTCACCCGGATAAACCGGTTTTATGCAAATTATTATTTGAATGCTAAAAATAGGTATAACTTTAATTTGGAAATCTATAAGACAAAATAAGTATTTTGGATTAGGAGTGAAATAGGAAAAATAAGTGAAAAATGTACACTTAATGGAGTCCACCCATCTTAAAAAGATTGAGTCCCTAAGACATCCCTTTGTTGGGAGAAAAAGCTCGAGCATGTAGAACCGACTGCCTTGGGAATGAGAATACACAATTCGCTGAACCAGACTGACTTTATAAATATAGCNAACGAAATTTTGATCTATGATTATGTACAAAGACAGTTATGTAAGCCGTTTTGGTTGGCATTTTAGTCATAGCTATGGTTGCTTCAAGACCACTGTGTACTATAGACACACCACACTCTCCGGGAATCAATGAACACCTTCGTCAACTCTCACGCCTTGAATTCCATCAACGGAGACCAACGAAACCGATCGCAAACGAAGAGCTCGAGTCAACACAAGGAGGTTAAATTGTTGTCTTGCCCTGCCCTTTGGGGAAGATCTCTTGTTCTGAACTGGCGCGCTTTTAGTACATTTAGACCCAGTACTGGTTCGCGATTAATCTCTTTTGCCTGCAAGCAACTAGCGAATTTAACATGGCAATGTCCTAGGAAGTGTCAATTGCCCCCCGCTGCATCTCTTTGTCGATAGTTCTGAACTATTTCTAAATTCTATAGTTCCGAACCAGTTCTAAAATCGACAGACGAAAGAAAAGATTATCATTTATTATTTTTCAATCTTTTTGGTTCTTAAGATGTTAAAATGTTAACACAAATTTTGGTTTTGTATTACCAAGCTATGAAAAAGCATCTGCGAAGTGCGGAATGGAAGCGTATTTGAACGAAAAAGCCGCCAAACACATATGTTTCTAGGTAAAGTAAACAAGCCGCTGCATCTCTTCTTCGATAGTTCCGAACCAGTTCTAAATTCGTCACCTTAGATATAGATTTCTAATGGAAAAACTTAAATAAAACAGTTGTTTATAAGAACCACATTTCGCTGATTTCGAAATGGTGGGAATCTATTTATTATCGGACTGGTTCGTTTTTGGTGATAAAGATCTAGTGCGGAACTAGAAATTTGATTCACTAGTCCGCGGTTTTCCTGCAGGGTGACGACATGCCCACTCACATCAGCTCATCGAACATCCCTCTTTATGCGGCTCAAACCCTTACCTCTTCCTGAACTTGCTTATAGTTTTTAGATTCTGGTATATAAATAAACTAGTTATAAAGCCGGTTTATTCTTTTGTAACAATCCGGTGTACTCGGTATTTGAAAAATCACGATTTCAAAAGTCCGCCTAAAAATATTCAAAGAATAAAAAATAACGGTTGAAACCAGTTTTGGAAAAACCGAATCAATCACCCTAGTGCGGACTACTGCAGATTGCCTAATTAAACTCTACATATTTATGTACACCACGCTTCACTTGAATAGCGTGTCCCACAGACAACATATCGAGCCCTAACCGCCAAAGAGGGGTCAGCGAAAATTTTTCAAAAATTTTTTTCTGATGCAGAAATGCATTTAGATGCTCTAGGAACATTTCTGCATCGAAAAGAAAATTTTGGAAAAAATGTACGTCTTTTTGGCTCAATATTCTGTTTTTTTATATCTTTTTCTGGGACAATAGGAGCATCTTTCCATTTTATGGATTTGTTGCTTCTGCTTTGGCTTTGATAGTGTCAACTACACAGTATGGGCTCCCACATCAAATACTACCACAGCTTATATTGCTCTGGGAATTGGAAGATGGGATGGAGTCCCCGATGCCCCCTCCCCCTCTCGTTGGGCCTGCGAGTGTCCCAGTGAGACTAATGCGGCTGTGTAAAATGACTTTGAACATCACGGTCATTTTATTTAATTCAAAATCATTTGTATTCTATTCAAGCGAAGTCTTTAGTTACATGAACTAAAAAGTCAGAAAGGATTATGTTTAATGTTCAAGTGAAAAGGCTTAAAACTATATACTTACTAAAATTGCCCAGCCGCTTTAACAAAGGTTGCTTATTCCTTGAAAATCTACATACATATGTACGCTTGCGGGAAGATGTGGGAAAACATGATTATTTGCCCTGAGTAAGAATGTGAAGAGTGATTTGTTGAGCTGAGGATCATTAAATTGCTCAAAAAAAGAGAGAATTGAATTACGGACTTCGCCTATTTGCGAGTATTTAAGAGCGTCATTTATATAAATACAAAGAAGTTCAAAGAAAAGCTAAGCTACACATCTTTCTCTGGTAATATTGAAATAGACCAATCGCCCTGCCTTTCCAGTACAAAAAAAAGCTATTTTATCGATTACATATTGTGAATAAGAAATTGATGTACATAAATTTGGCAGATATTCCGTGTTTAAAGACCATACCGAATGCACATAACATACATACATACATTTATATTATGTATGCGGTAGGGATGCCAATCCCGGGATCACGGAGTTTTTGAGGCTTATGACTACCTTTTGACAGTTCAGCCTAAAAGCCAACATACCAACAATACCAACATGTATTTCGACCCGCTGAATCCAAAAGTGAGATCCGTTTGACTCGTTCGCCCTCAAAATTTCGAGTAAAATGCGAAAAAATTGCAAAAAATTCGCCATTCGCAATTTCTTTATGGAGTAGAATAAACATGTTTAGAGAATTTGTTTTTGTATATTTTTGTTTAATGTTAATGTTTCATTAATTATCAATTTCAAAATTACCTCGTATTAACATTGTTATTTGTGGACGTATGCGTTCCTCAATCACATGGTTTCTTAAATACAATTTAAAAAATGTTAGTTTTATTTCATGGTATTTTTAAATGCTCTCGGCTATTGAATTTTTGCTCATATTCATAAAAGTTACGTCTCAATGTGAATATACCGGGATTACAAAAAAAAAAAAATCCCGAAATCCCGGGGTTACAATTTTCCGCGCAAATTTTGGCATCCCTAATACATACATTCCATGCCGAAACAGGACGAAATTCAGTTGAAATAAAATTGCCAACAAACGATGCTAGGAAGAAATAAAACCAACAACAAACATAACTTACATTCATTCCTTAAAATAAATCTAAAAAAACAGAAGCAGCCGAAAATACTGCAGCAAAAACTCAATTAACCAGTATTTCCAATTGAACGAATTACAAAAGGAGAAATCAAAGAATGAAAACGAAAAAATTGGATGAACCAAGTAATTGAAACGAGCCACGAAACCATTTAACAAATAGTATATACGGTGCAAATACATACAAACATATGCACATTCATACACACTCGTACCTGCCCTACGAACTTAAATGTTAAATGTTAATTCAAAGCAAAATATAGGTTTGATATAAAATTGTTGCTAATAAATTGCAGACTGGGTACAATAAGTTTTCAAAAGAAAAAGTATCTTTGATTGTTTTTGAGCCCTAGGCCTAGGTTAAATAAAACAATTGGATGTCCTATATTCCTTTTAGTTTATTACTGTCGATATTCCGCCTTTAATCTAAAGGCAGGACTGCTAAAACGCAATATGCGTACATATTATAGTCCGACCGACTCCCAATTTTTGGCCGATGCCGATTAATCGGCCGATGCCGATGCCGATTCCTTTAAAAAAAACTAAATTCATTCACTTATTTATGTACATACATAAATATGTAATAAAAGTAGTATATCGCCTATGCATACATATCATTGCAATACTTTGGTCCTTATGCCGAATTTCCACTAGGCATTGAAATTACAAAAAATGTATGCCATTTAAAAAAATGCCATGTGGAAATGAACTAATGACTATTTTCTTAATGTAGTGACACAATTATTTTTTTATGCTCGACTTTGTCATTTGTCATTTTTACCATTTAATGCCAGTGGAAATCCAGCATTAGTCTTTTTCTTATTCAATATTAAAAGAATAGTAGTAAAAATATGCAGCTTCTGCTGACTATAAAGGTGTTGTATTGAATACAATTTGTTAATGAACAGTAACTGTAGTGTTTTAAAGATAAAAGTATTTTTGTAGCATAAACAATTTAACAATCCAGTGAAAAGAACCCGATGGATTTTGGAATTCAGCGATTAATTCAATAATAATCGCAATAAATCTTACAGTAACGACATTTTAGCATTCTTTGGCTATTTCCCTTTCGGTTATTAAATGTTTCTTTTTTTTATGAAAGTGTAGCTCGTTATCTAACAAAACTAATGTTGTTAAAAATTACGACCTTTTTCTTTAAACATTCTGATTATGCGATTTTGTAGCCCATTCAATTTCATTTTAATGAAGTGCAAATTAAAAGTAACCGGGACTTACTATTGATTTTTGGAATTTTTTTGGTGGATGGTGCTGCAGATTTTCTCCATACAAAAAAATTTCGAACATATTTTGTTCGGAAGAAAATGCGTGAACAAAAAATTTTCAAAAATCAACACTTACCTAGCTACATCAAACTTGAACTTTATTATACTAAAATTTAAAAAACTGCGTATTCAAAAAAAATCTAAAAAAGCTGATGAAACAGTTTCAAATTTTGACGAAATTTTTTTAAATTTGCCGAAAAAGTATAAAGCATGATAAAAACATTACAAGGTAAATTCATTCTCTCATTTCGTCGGCAATGATTTTTTTCTGACGTTTGCCAACATTTTAAAATCATATAAAATTGAAAATAAAAACATTAAATTGTTCACAATTGTTGTTGTTTGAGATTGAAAATGAGAATGTGTGTGTGAGTTTGAGTTTTGATTTCAAAATTATATTGTTGGCAAACGTCAGACTGCCTCTCAATGGTTTTACCTTGTTATATTTTTATCATGGTATAAAGAATCGGCTAAGAATCGGCCAATGCCGATACCGATTCTGTTGGTCGATACTAGCCTGTTAATCCGTCGGACTCTAAAACATATGTATATCATCACAAATAATTATTTACAAAACGTACAACAAAAATAAATTTAAAAGATAAAGAAATAGTGCGAAAATGTGCCAAATATATAAATAAAAGAGAATTCCCCGATTTTGCCCGAAATTTCGTAAATTACAAAAAAAATGTATTTTGATATATAAGTTTGCTAACAAAAAAATAAAGAATATACCTATAATATTTACATACATACATACACCGGTCGAAAAAAATTTAGGCGCCCCATATTTTGACAAATTTTCATTTTTTTTTTTTGTTATTTAATTTGAGTTATTTTTATAAAAATATAGTTCATTCTTAAGCAATAATCGTTCAAATCCATGTTTAAAACTTTGTGCAATATTCTAAAAAAATCAACAAACTTTCGTAAAAATGTCAAGCATTTTAATTAGATTTTCTAGAAAAATGTTGAGTATGCAGTTTTGTAGCACACTCTATTCTAGTACCTAGTTTTTTTTTTTGCCGAAGGTGTGCGGCTTTCTTCCATATAAAATAAATTGTGTTTATTCGTTATATGAAAGCAAATGCTCCAAAGGAAATTCTTTTTATTTTTTTCTAAATCAATTTGAAATTAGTGAAGGAAAAAAGAAAAAATGGTTTACACCTAATTCCTCACAAAAAAAAAGAGTTCAACCCCTTGCTACCCAATGTAAACTGGAAGTCCCCACAAAAAACGGTCCATTCCCCGATTCCCGACGCAAACTGAAATTCCCCGCAAATCGGAGAATTCCCCACGAGTTGGCTTCCCTGGGAGGGACCTACAGTTTTACGCCGACTCCGAACGGTGATTGTATTTTTATGAGAAGCTGTTTTTCATGGCAGTAATACACTCGAAGGTTTGCCATTGCCTGCCGAGGGGCGACCGCTGTTAAGAAAAAACCTTTTTTTCAATATTTTTGCGATGTTGCTTCGACCAGAGCTTGAACCCAGGCCCTGCGAAGTGGAAGCGCGCACTGCTTACCACTACCCCACAGCGGCCGCAGAAGCGGTTATATAAATAGCTTGAGAAATAATATTTATGTTTAAAGACACTTTTATAAAAGTTAATAAATCTGACTTTTAACCAGTTTTATTACACAAATACTCTATGTGCGTCGCCCGTACATACTAATGAAACTAATGTTTAAATTCTAACCTAACCTACATGTGTATGTAACTGAATCGCCTAATAATAGGTTTGCATATAAGTAGGTTATCCTCATTTTCGAGCTTAACTCCCTGATTTGTAATTAGAAAAAGAGATTAGCCTTAAACAAGTAAGAAAGTCTAAGTTCAGGCGGAGCCGAACATTAAATACCCGGCGCAAGTATTAAATATATGTTTTCCACCTTTCCGAAAGCTACCGCTACATGATAAGCCGGGGTGTATACATTTTAAGTAAATTAGCGTCCTTAAATTTCGAAATATTGAAATTTCAAGCATATCTGAAATTTACCGTTATATGAAAAGCGGCCTCAATTTTAGTCCGATTTCAACAATTTTCAACGGTTTGCTTTTATGTGGCAAGCACAATAACCATACCGAGCTTGGTACAAATTGCTAGAACGGTTAGCGAGATACATATATGTGATCACAAGTGGGCGGTGCTACGCCCATTTTCCAAAATTTTGTCATAAACGTATTTCTTGGTAAAGAATTGTTGCAATCATCAATTTTGGATAAATTAGCTTCAATATTTACTGATTTATCGAAGATTTTGTATTTCTCGAAATTACCGTTATATGGGATGTGGGCGTGGTTATTGTCCGATTTTAGAAATTTTCGGCCAGTTGGTATGCTGTACCAGGACCAACAACTGTGCCAAGTTTGGAAGAAATTGGTGTAGCGGTTACCAAGATATACACATGTAACCATAAGTGGGCGTGGCTACGCCCATTTTCCAAAAATTTATAATATTCATGTTTTCCGTCTGAAACTCATTGTAAGTATCAATTTTGAGTGAATTATCTTCAGTAGTTACTAAAATATCGCAGTTTTCGTATTTCTTAAAATTACCGTTATATGGGAGGTAGGCGTGGTTATTGTCCGATTTCGCCCATTTTCAATACCATCCGTCCTACGCCCAAAAGAAGTTCACGAACCAAGTTTCGTTAAGATATCTCAATTTTTACTCGAGTTATCGTGTGCACAGACGGACGGACGGACGGACGGACGGCCGGACAGACAGTCACCGCTTAACACAAAGTTATAATACCCTTGTGCACAAGTGCGCTCGGGTATAAAAATTATAATTGTAAAATAATCTCAGATTAAACTCATAACTTTTCGGTGTCCAACCTAGTTTTATCGATCATATTTGCGAAGAAGAGGAGAAATGTCGAATGTAAAAGTAAAGCAAAATGGACGCTAGCAAGGAAAAGCGTTTTGTAAAAGTATTTTAAATAAATTAGTAAGTTAAAGTATATTTAAATTACTTAATATGTATAGCAGAAACAAGTGATCACGGTGGCACAGAGAAGAAAATTAACTTTTCCTTGAATTGTGCGAATAGCAAACACAACAAATTTAACGGCTAATAATCTGAAATTTGCCTGTGTAAACAGGGCGATTAACAAAATTGAGATTACATGCGCATATGTTTACACATCGATTTTTATGAGTAACTAGTACTCAAGCCTTTTTTGATGTACCTTTACGCCCTGCTCTATACAAAATCTCACAAGACCACATTATTTTTTACTTTTCTTAAATTTGACTTGTTTTTATGTTGAACTGATGTTTTTAAATATAAAAAAGAAAACTAAATAGACAAAATTTTTGCTTTTTTTATTGGTAACATTTCGAGCGCCTACTCCTGTATATTGTCACCCTGTTAATTCATCCATTTCCTGGTATTCAATATTTTCCCTTCACCATTCGCTTTCAATGCTTTACATTTATCAGTAAACATGTACGATTATTTATGTATACGGATGTGCATAAAAATTTTAGTAATTTATTATAAAATATCAATTCAAAAAATACATAATTAATAGATGCACACACATACATATTTTAATAAAAGCATAAATTTTAAAAATCTTTTTTTTTTACCATTTCGTTATTTATCTGTATCGCCATTATTATTATTATCATAGTTTTATAATTTTTTCTTGACCACTATTATGCTTTACTGAATGCTTTTGTATTTAAAATATTGTAATCAACGCAAAAACTCCATACAAAAGCGCGCATGGATACGCAATCAGTACTTGTTGATGGTCCATCGAGTAGGCCGTCACGAACAGTTTCGAAGCAGACATGGCACACCACATTATCGCCACACCAGCAATAATAAGTCCCAATGTACCCCTAAAAGAAGAAGAAAACGATAATGAGTGTTTTAAAGCTAAATATATCTATTTATGTAAGTAGTTAGTATGTACAAAAATTCGAAATGTTAAAAAGTTTTGTATTTACGTAAAAATTGGTACGACATTAATATGTATGTATAATATTAGCGCAACTTTAAAACTATCCGCAACTTCGATTTGCATCTGTTTCTAGACATAATGCGATGTATCCAATAGCTGGTATTGAAAATGGACAAATAATTTCGGAAAGCGCAGAACTTCAAACAATTATGTCTGGCCGGCCAATTTGAAGTTTTAACTAAGAAAACCGATCAAAACTCCCAGTGTTCATTAACGTAAGCCTAATATATGCAAGTCGACGGTAGGACGGGCTGGTGGGGCTATGCCACCGAAAGCAAAAAAATATGGAATTTTTGATATGATCTTTCAAAATGCTTTGAAATCTGTACAAAAAAAACACGAACATGTTTTTGATGGCCCCCCTACCTAACAGAACGTTCTTATTTGACATTTTCTGGAATAGCTCCATCTTCCATTCGGTAGAAAATCGTCTTTAATAATTGGTAATAGAAAAGTTTCTGCGGATTTTCGTCACTATGTGTTATTTATGCCCATACATCCGGCAACACCAAGTCAATTGCGTCAAACTGACGAGGCTACATTTTTTAGTGGAGACTGTTCTGTAATTCATCGCTCGTGAAAAAACTTATATTGATTTAAAAATGAGTGAAACAACTGAAGAAAAATGGACATCAGAGCCTTGATTGCCGGCAAGCAAGGCTATGTTGAATGTTTGGTGGGATTGGACGGGAATTGTTCATTATGAACTGCTACAACGTGGCAAAACTATCAATCCGGTCCTCTGCTATGCACAATTTGACCGGTTGAAAACAGAACAACAAATAAATAAAAAGCAATTAAGAAATAGCCACCAGAACTGACGAATAGAAAAGGAGTTGAGGTCCATCATGCCAGTTCCAGGTTTGATGGTTCGGTTGAGAATGTTTCAATGCATCCAACGTATATCCCGTTCCTCTTCCATTTCTTTCGGTCTCTGCAGAACTGTCTTGATTATAAAAAAATTTGGCGACCGAAGAGCCGCTAAAGATCACTTGGCCAGGTTTTTCGCCGATAAACCACAGAAGTTCTACACCAATGGAATTGTGAAGCTACCCGAAAATTGGCAAAAGGTCATAGATAATAATGGTCAATGTATACTGGCCTAAAATTGATTTTAAAACATTTTATTTTTATCCCTATCTTCATCTTCGTGTTCATTTTTATCTTTATCTTCTTCTGTATCCTTTCCCCGACTCCAGTGGCTCTTAATGCAGTCGTTCGTTTTCTGCTCCCGCCATATAACCTTCACCATGGCGTTAAATATTCAAAGCAAACGTCTCCGAGCTCGATTAAGAAGTTTCCCTTCAATAATTTGAATTCTACTTTTTAAACCGGTGACCACCTAAAACACCTCAAACATATTTTTATTGTTCAAACTACGGATTTCTTAAAACTGTTTCGATTCACCCTCACATTTAGTATTTCATGCTCATAACTTCGGTATAATTTAACTTAGTTCGAGTTTTCAAATATTCTTGAAAAACAAACTCGTTTGACGGACACACTATTGTGATACTTTATTTAGCTTATTAATTAATCGGTTTTAACTTTTTAACAGGGGGCTAAACCCTTGAAATAAATCGTTTCGGAACCCATTTGATTTGACAAATGCACTATTATATTATTTTGTTTGCTTTATTTTAGTTAATTGATTTTGATTTTCGAAAAAGTTGGCAACTCTCTTCAAAATATTATATTTGTTAATCCAGGTTATAACCTATCTAAACGTCAAATTGTATTCAAATACATCGAGCTTTTTCAACGGGAAAGAGCAACAAACATACTCACGCACTCGCAAACTTCCACTCAAACAAGGGACCATGTGTTGATTTTTTTAAATATTCAGAAGCTAGTCTTTTTTTGTTAGTTTTATACGAAAACATCGTTCAAGCTTTAACGAAAACCATATAAATCCAAGTTTCAAACTTTATACAAAATTCAGGAAAATTCAACAATTTTCATCAAAATTTTAAACTTTTTGATCAGAGCATTTGTGGGTATCCAATTTTATAGCCCATACAATTTTAAATAGTCTGACAAAGTGCAAGTTTTAGCAAAAAATTAATTTTTGAATTTTGATATATTTTTTTTTTTTTTGATGACGGCTTTCCCGTTTTTTACTGCATATTCAAAAGTGCTCTAACAATACTGATTAAAATTTGTTATTCTTACTTTTTGCTTTCATACTTTCGTTTACTTGTACTTAATATGACCAATTACCCCGTTCGAGTGATATCTCGTTTTTCCAATTGTCATAAACTGCAGTTAAGGCTTGATGTCAAGCTTTAACGCTCTACATAGTATAGATGTGTTTACACCCAGCATATACCAGGAGCCAATTTCAAAAAAGTGACAGGTGCGACAATTGTAGATTTTTCCGAAAAATTTCCGAGCCAGAATTGTCGGCGGCATTTTTCCTGTTTCATAGATGCCTGTAAGCAACTGTGACAATTTTTGGAAAGCGACAGTGACAATACAGGAAAATTGTCGACAATTGTCACAAAATTGCCGCGATAATAGCGACAGAACTAAATAGCTCCGTCGGAAAGTTTTCACAGGAGAATTTCGTAAATTTTTTCATATTATAAATGCGCGCATTTTAATAATTTTCAATGATTTGAATATTTGTAAAAACTAAAATAATGCAAATGCAATTATTATATATATGAATTAGATATAAATTTCATATGACTAGCGACAATTTTGTAAACGACAATTTTAACACCCGAGAACGACAATTTTGTCATTTCTTAATGGAACTGAAACCGGGTTGACAAAGGTTCTTATGAAACAAAGCACCTACCAAACTATCGAATTGTCACTGACTATACGGAAGATGCCTGTCGTGACAAAATTGTCACAGTCACTTTATGAAATAGGCCCCGGGCCGCATTTAATGAAAAATATGATGAACTGCAATAATTTTTCAAAAGAATTTCACTCTTCAATAACTAACGGGTGATTTTTTAAGAGCTTGATAACTTTTTTTTTAAAAAAANGAAATGTCAAAGCATACTGAGCATCTTTCTCTTTGACACCATGTCTGAAATCCCACGTGATCTGTCAAATACTAATGCATGAAAATCCTAACCTCAAAAAAATCACCCGTTATGTACACCAAATCTATGATACAATTTAAAACGTCAATTTATCTAAGCCGCTTTTCCCCCTAAATTATACTCAAAAAAACTTTCAACAACACTCAAGCCAATCTCCTACTGTCTGTTGGCTTTGAAATTTTTGCGAACGCGTGTGAGTAATTAAAGCGTTTCACTCTAAATTAACGCGAAGTGAACGAGAAAACTAAAATTGAAAAGGAAACAAGCGACCATACCGAAAAAAAACCTAGTCAGAAAAAAACTTTGCCGACTTTTTCATATGAATGTACCAAAAAATGATGAGCATTCAGAGTGTAATGCAGTGAATATAGCCAACATCAGCTATAGATACCACTGCTAGATACTAACTAAACGAGCAGAGAGTGGTGCACTTGTAGAACGTAGAATATATGTACTCGGATTGGTGCGTTTATTATAGTCATAAAAAGAAAATAGTAAAAAACGAAGCCAGCACCGAAGTGAATGTGTTAGCGTAAAACTTTGATGCTATTGGTGTCCGTATTGATGGCCGCCGTGGTCTAGTGGCTATAGGTGCGCACTGCCACCCAGTAGGGTCTAGGGTTCGACTCCTGGTCTAATCAACATTCAAAAAGATTTTTATCTTAATACAGTAGCCCGTCAGCAGACAATATCGAACCTCCGAGTATACTTTTGCCATGAAAACGTTCCTCATAAAACATAATCTATGGTTTGTAGGCACTGGAAATTGGAGGAGAAGCTCGGCCAAATGCTTGACAACATGCGCAAATGCGTTTTTTTTTTTGTTAATCGGTAGCAGTGTTGGCGGTGTTTGCGATTGCCTTTACGTTGGAAAATTCTAGGAGTAAATAAAATTGCAAAAACATACAAATAACAAAAATAAAAAAAGGCAGCGAGTACAAAAAATAATGGTGTTAAAAAACCCCGATGCTCAGCGAAAAAAAATACAGAGTAATAGACAGAACTTCTCAATGTGTATTTGGAAGTGTGTCCACACCAGGAGGCGAATTGGAAAGTACGAGTATGGCTAAATTACGCAACACAGAGTAGTGCGCGCGCCAAATCTCATGGAATATGCTGTATTTTATTGACATACACCAGAGGCACATTCTGGTCGCCAACAACAGCAGCACTAGTAGCAAGTAGCTAGCTGGCCAACAAGTCAGGGAGTTCGTTTCAATAAGCCAACGGATGTAAAAAAGTGGCATGCAGAACATTTGAGATAGAAAAAATTACACATGGCGAACGGCCCTCGCCCAAGTTGGCCGCGGTCGCTTGTGTATCAATTAAACGTGTCTGTTGAAATTTAAACGCGCTGAGACTATCTGGCGCCCAATCGTATATCGTACACAATCTCCATCACTACGAAAAATTGATTGGAGAAATTTCCAGCGAAATATTACTAGAACGTTTTTTAATTGGCAGCCAATAAGTGAGGGGGTTTTTATTTTTGAACCAATTTTTTTTTTAATTCTTTCATACATACATACATTCATATGTACTATGTATGTACATTTTTTTTTTTTTTTATTTGAGAACTTTTATTTAAGGTCTGATAGCGCAGACTAAATACAAATATGCCAAATATGCATAACAATATACTACGTATCGCTCTTTTAGGTTAGTTTGCCAAACCGTAAGAAATCAACTAAGGGCATTATTGATTTATTTGGCATCACTTACTATTTTCATCGCTTATTTTGGTCAAGCACACTCGTTCTAAGTGGTGTTAAATTCTAATATCAAACGACAATGGTCAGATTTTAGTCTTAAATAAGCTGTCATCATAAGGAAAATTCCTTGAGGTTGACATCACTGGTCCCAGTTTCTCGATACGTACAACAGCGGTCATAATAATAGTAGCAAAATTCAAAATGATATTAATTACAAATCCTTATTTATTAATTTGTAATAATTTTCATTTAAAATATAGTTCGATCTATAACAGAAAGCACAGAAATTGCACAAAAATTAATAAAACTTCAAATAATTGTCATCAAAATTTAAAACTTTTTATTCAGAAAGTTTAGGAAATTTTCGAATTCAGTTTTGTAGCCCATTCAATTTTAGTATGATAAAGTGCAAGTTTCAAGTCACTAAAAATTACCGTTGATTTTCAGAATTTTTTTTTTGTCGGGGGTGTTGCGTATTTTCTTCTATATAAAAATAGATTTTGTTCATACATATGTACGTTGGATGGAAGGAAATGCTGAACACCCTGAACAAAAAAAAAACTAATACATCAACCGCACTTTTTAGTGACTTTAAACTTGCACTTTATTATACTTAAATTGTATGGGCTACAAAACTGCACACTCCAAATTTTCTAAACATTCTGAATAAAAGGTTTGAAATTTTCACGAAAATTTTTTTTAGTTTGATTCCTTTTCGTGTAATTTTTGAAATTTTTATTTCTGTCGTTTCTGTTATAGATCGATATATATTTAAAATTAAAATTATTAAAAGAAGATAAACAGGAGTTTCAAACTATATCACTTTGAATTTTGCTACTATTATTTTGACCGCTGCTGTAATTGCGACTGCTACTTTATCACAGTCACAGTTCGTAGCAGCTATTGTAAAAGGCGCAATCGTACTACCAAAAGATCATTGAGACTGTTCCTTTGTCAAAGTCTGTCACCGTGACTTTTTTGAAATTTTTGGAGCAGCAGTTACCCGTGAATTTTGAGTAACCCGTATGCAAATATATGCCACCTCTGATATGGCTATTGAGGATGTGAAAGCTAAAGTACTTCAACCTTAGCCTCTCAAACGCTAGGCACCTAAGAAAGTAGCGTTGAGGTGATTCCACCTCGTCATCTTCCAGCAACTGCGACATACGAAATCAGATAATATGTTCAGCCTTACTACGTGAATACCAATTGGACCGTGACCCGTTAAAACCTCCACCAAAATTGAGAGCTGTGGCTTAGTAAGTGTGGGGAGTGCCGCCGACCGCCCCAGCCTACCCTCGGCTAGGAACTTCTACTCAAGAGCTCTTTATCCAGCGATAACGTTTCAATAGTACCATTCCTAGCCAATTCTTCAGCCATACAGTTCATCGCTATGTCGCTGTAATCCGGAACCAAAATGAGTCTAATACAGAAGTATTCCGGCGCAACTGAAAGAGAGAGCAGACATTCCTTAACCAAATTAGAGGGCTATCAGAATAAATTCTCATCCCCCTAACTCTTCCGCCTGAAACGCACTGTCCCAGTCCGGAAGCCTGAACTTAGTACTGATGCAAAGCTCGCGACTGAAGACCCCTTCAGCAACTCTACTGCCCCGTTTTGACGTGAAGAAGTTCACTGCTCCCCCTCTCGAGAGTGGGCGGAGAATAAGCTCCTAGGGCGTTTTTCGAACCGGCAGCCGAGATAGGTCGATCTTCCACTCAGCCGTCGATATGTATGTATATACTATAATTGATGTCAATAGCTATAGTAAAATTCGGGCAGTAGTATTTTCGTAGAGCATTTAAGTACCTCAATCCTTTTCGAAATGATGTATCTTTGATTTCTCTTGCTTCCTATATCAGAATATGAGTTTACATAAGAAGTAGACTTAGCAACTTTTCACTTTAAGCTAGCGATATGTACTACATAGTTACAATGCTTTAAATTTTTCACTCCAGGTAGTGGGATAGGCCTATAACACCTTCCATTGCTGTTCTGTTTGGCCACTTTGGAAGAAACCAGCTTGAAATATTTTACTACTAAACTTCAGTGCGTTATGCTTTCATCTAAATTTGTGGTAATATTTTTATGACCGTATGTGTAAATTTAGAAACAATGTATACATCAAATTGTTGTCTTCAAGGATCCATAAGTAATAGAATTTAGCGAGCAATTTGTTTGCAAAAAAGGCTTAACCATTTACCTCCTTTTATTATGGGCCTTTTGACCTTCATTTCCAGAAGTTTATTATAAACGATAGTTAGCGGGTTTAAAGTGTTCTAGCATTACAGATTGTCAATGAAAAAAACTAAAATTTCACCAAAATTTTAAGATATATGATTTTAGAACGATGTTGCGACCTAATCTAAAATATTACTAATTTGAAGTCCCTCTAGTTGAAAGGAACTAAATCGTTTAGGAAAAAAAACTTGGTTTAAAAACTTGTGCAGTTTTTATATATGTACATACATAAGTACTTGTACGTGACTTCATATAATCAGGAGTTTATGTATGTTTACACGTTTTCGCATATACATACATATTTTTATGCCATAAAAATTTTCAATTAACGCCGGAAGTTGATGAAGAAGTATTGCATTTTCTGTTTATGCCGCTCCGAACAAATTGTATGCCGCATTTGTATTATATTTATTCTTGTTGTTGGCTACTTTTTTGTTTTTAAATTGTTTTGCCGACCATCGCCAATCAGCATTGGTAAACAAATGAAAATGTATACGAATACAAAACAAAAAACTGCAACTATAACAATTACAATATATAAAATGGGAAAAGTGCGCTGATGAAAACGATAAAAATTATAAAAACTATTGCATTGTATTTCAGCGTAGAGGCGAATTGAAACACGGAATATGACTCCAGTAGATGCATGCACGTGTGCTGGTACAGATAGTACGAGTACTACTATGTATGTAGGTATGTATGTATGCAATTCTAGATGTGCATGCAACAGTGCATAGGTATGCTTATGTAAATGTGTGTATACTCACTGTATGGTGATTAAAACATTAATGCCGGACAGCATAACCATGGGTAACAAGCAATAGCCAAGCACGGAGACCACAGCACCGAATGTTACTTGCGCCTGTGTTGCCATCAGCGATAGCAGACAATAGAAGGCGATACAGCCCATCACACCAATGCCATAAATGTACGAAAATGTTACTTTGCCGCTCTGTGGAATGTGGAATCAGCCAACATAACCAACGTCAGACAACACCATCAGCGTTACAACACCGTACACATTTACCACAATGATAGACACACAAGGCATGACACGGCGAAACAGGAGATTGGTTTTGTTGGTTGGTTGTCGTGTGATGAGTGAGCAAACAGCGCCAGGACAATGGTGATAGAGAATGGTTCATTGTTCGGTTGTTTGGTTGGTTAGTTGGTTGTTGCAGGTGTGGTAGATATCATCATCATTATTATTGTGGTTGTTGTTGTTGTTGTGGTGGTCCATTCGATCATTCATTTATTCGTTGTTGTTGTGGTCATAGAGCATCCAAAGCATCGAACGTGTTGCCACCGGAAAGAAAAGAACAGAGAAAAGTATTTCAATTAAAAACTTCATGCAAATATTTAAATGTTTGCAATTCGTAATATGTATTGTTGTGTTTGCATAATGTTCCAATGTTTGTAGTTATTAATTCATTTGCAATGCGGCACGATACTTCAGCATCCATATGGAGCCAATAACAGATTATTGTAATTATGCCATGCGAAAACCAACATGGAGGCAAACAAATTGCTGCCCATCAACACTCATACATACCAAGAGTAGAAAGCCACCTAGAGCCAGGCAAAAGACCAATGGTCCGGCCATATCAGTATCCTGTAGTATGGTTTGATCTGTGGCGCGCATGGGATTCAAGACAGCCAGAGTCTGCAAAATAGAAAGCAAATCATTTATGATTAATTTGTGTGTATAAGAATTTGCAATGCAACTATATTTTGTATAGATATGGTAAACTTTTTTTTTTTTAATTTTGCTTTATTAGCAATTTTCCAAATAAAAGTTCTTTCTTGGTACACTTGTAGGCTGGTGTGATCTATTATTTAATGGTGCAAATAAAACACTTATTCCACCTTCGTTGCCCAACGTTTCGCTGAAATTTCCAGCATCATCAGGGGC